TCATTTATCCTTTTCTTAAATATTCTTACAACTGGAGTCTAAGAATCCCCATATATACTTTTGTAGAAGAATCATCGTGGCACTAGTTTGTCAACTGGCAATACATTGAACGTATGGTTATTCAATTTCTTGGACAGACTGATCTATCATCTACTTATTTATTGTATGCATATATTTGTGAAGCAGGTTGGCACCAAAGTATACTTACAGGGATGGAAAAATCGAAATAAGAATGTTGCAATGGGTAAACTAGTGAGTTGTGATCCAAAACAGAAACTTGATGGTGTTCAGCTAGGCAAAGAATTTTTGATGGTTTCTGTTAGTTTTGCAATGGTAGAAGATGAACCATTGATACGACCATACAAAAACTACAAGGTTCTTAGAGATGTAGAAGGAGGAGTCCATGTTGCATGGCCTTCAACTTTGGTACGGTCTTTTCTATAACCCAACATGATTTTAGTTCTCATATAGTCATATGTGTCATGTTATTTAATTTAATTTTCATTTAATCTGCAGATCGAGAAGATAGATGTATGATCACAGCAGAGGAACGCTTGACTGAGCTAAGCAAGGAGAAAGGAGGACAACTAGCATGCTAGGAGGGATCTTTTGCTCACATAGGAACATGTGTTCTGTAAAAAAATTTGTGTCATGAATTTGGATGGTACTTTGTAATGCGACAAATTATTTATAATATATATATATATATATATATATATATATATATATATATATATCAGTGTGCTTATTTTTATGTTGGATGGTATTGCATTTTTATTAAATTGTACAATATTATCTCTATTGTTGTCTCAAAAATAAATAATTATATAATATTAATGAACGAATGGTTTATTCCTTACAACGCATATAAGTGTTGCAATAAACCAAATCTATACGTTAAAACAAACCATAGAGGCTATTCACACATGGTCTATACAAACACATATATGTGTTGCTATAATCAAACATTATGCGTTGCAACTTTGCAACGCTTATTACCACATGTTACCAACGCATAAATAAGTGTTGCAATAGATCCTTGCAACGCCACTTTAGGCAACACATACAAGATGCGTTGGTATAGACCTTACCAACGTATATATGAACTTTTAGCAACGAATATTTACGTTGCAAAAGGTGGTGTCATTTTGTAGTGCAGCCGGCCGAGATTGGGCCAAATATACTTCATGTAGCTGATAGAAACGAGGCCCCTCGCCTCATATCCTTCCATTCTTTTTTTTAAATTTGATGACTTCTGCTCGTTTTGGATGTGGCTGCTTCGGGCGGGAACGGTTGGAGTCCCGAACTCCATGCAGAACAAAATGGTGAATGTTATGAGTCACCGGTTCCCATCTCCAATATGATGCATCTGGATTGGCTGCCCACGCCCAGTCATCATGCGTTTCAAGTTGTAGGAGCAAATCCATGCAAATACTGTATCTAACATCTCTCCTACTGGGATGAGAGTGGGAGAAGGAGGTGGTGGTGTTCCTTATAGAAAGATTAGAATGAACAATAATGAAGCAATCATTTTATTGCCATGCATGAAGAACTGGGTTCATATATTCCTAAATAATAAATTGCTTTGATAATACGAATATTATTAATGACTACTTTGGCTTTTTCTTGTTATTTTTTTTCTTTTATAATTATATTTGTATGCTCCAAGTTGTCATCATTCAATTTGTTTATGATTTGATATGAAGGTAAGAATGTTAAAGAGGCTTTTTCAACGATTCTCCTCCACCAAACCAGTCTCCCCCAAACTATTTTCCACGTCACTGACACCCAAAGACCAGTATGTTACTAAAATATTTTTAATTTGACTATTAGTTTTGATTAGTTAGACTAAAATATTTTGTACCTTTATTGTTAATAGTTAGTGATCTATTATATTGGGGAGAATTTCAAAATATGTCTAAATTTTACATCTAATTTATTTCTCTTTTGCACTTAAATTGCTTTCAATTTAAGACTTATATTTCAACTTTCATTTTCAAAACAAGGCCTATTGTTACTCAGTCAATAAATTTACTTGAATTGAAAAAAAAAAAAATTGAAGTGATTGCTAGCTATTGTCATATGAAGACTAACTGGAAGAAATCAAGAGAAGTAAGAAACCATTTAGATTGCAAATGCATTAACAACATAGCAAAGCCATGTAAAATATTACCACCGACTTTGTGAAGATTCGAGATGAGTCAAGAAAACATTTACATATTAATTAATCTTGTCACATAATATAAGAAACATTAAAATAATTAATCTAGATATTTCCTAAGCCACCGATGACAAGAAACATTAAAATAATTAATCTAGATATTTCCTAAGCCACCGACTTAGCTTACCAAATCCCATGTCTGCCTATAAATATATGTGTGATGCATCATTTTGTGTGTGCAAGGAATAATAAATGTGTGCTGAGTGTGTGATAAAAAAAAAAAAAAGAAAACAAATGAGTGAGTTGTTAGTGGCGTGTGTGCAATGAGTGAATTGTAATAGTGTTAGTGCATTATAATAATATGGAGTGTATTTGAGAGAGAGAGAGATTATAATAAAATAATTAGTGTGTCTTTTTTGTCTTGATAAGTGAAATATTTATTTAGGTTTATATTGTGTTTGGGTAATTACTTTGTTAATATAATAAAGTACTTACGTTAGCATCCACGTGTTGTGAGTGTACCCAACTTAACAAGTAGTATCAGAGTCAGGCTAGTTAAGTCTGGCGTTAGTTGAGGTACGAGTTGTGTTGTCGAGCTTCTTGGTCGTAGTTTTCCAGTTTCGTACTGCAAAGTCTGTGTGCAGTTTAGTACTGCATAGTGTGTGGCAAGTTGATCGAGTGGAGCCACGATGGCAGACCTTCGAGTGGTCGGAGGTATCAAGAAGCTTAACAGTCAAAATTACAGCACGTGGTCGACGTACATGGAATCATATTTACAAGGCCGGTGAGATTGGGAGTGGTAGTGAGGTTAGTGCGCGCCAAGCCTATTTTTCTGGAAGCGCTGGCGCTGCCGTCGCGAGACCTAGGTCGCGGGTTGTGCGTCTGGGCGCGCTGGCATGGGGCGCGGGTCGGGCTGCACTGCGCCACTTCACGTTTCGACCTCGTTTGAGATCATCCGAACTCGAAATTGAGTTCTGTTTTTTCCTACGAGTCGCTAATGAACTCGTCTATTCAATTATGCTCTCGAAACTAATTTTTCTTGTTGAGAAAATTTGCCCGAAGATCACGACCTACACACCAAAAACGATAAAACACAGAGAAAGCCAAAAAGACAAACGAAAAACACTTAGAGACTCAAAATGAAGGAGAAAAAGAAAAGCAAAAGCGAGCACGAAAAGTGGGACAAACAACTTCTAATAAGACTCAAACTGGGCCTCTACCCTATGATCAACTTCCGTCAAACAGAGAAAAACGGCGACTAATGTGAAAGAGACAAGATGGATAATCGAGTCAAAAAGGAATTTCATGACAACCAAAAATAGCATATTAAACCTACTTTAAAAAAAGTATATTATGTGATGCTACGTTATAAGATTTTATTTGCAGTATATATTATTATATATATACTTTAGTGATCTTAATTAGGTAATTATAATAAATGAAATAAGTATCCATTATTCAATATAGAATAATATACTATATACATTGCATGTATATAAATTACATATAACACTGACGCACTATTTAACTTAATATTATCAAGATAAATAAATAAAAAAATCATTATATTCTTCCGGATATTAGTTATTTTTTTCTTTTCGACCGAAGAAGACCAGAACAACATCAAAGAACATAGATATTGTTGTTAGTTGATTATGCATAATCACAAACAACTAAATAACATGAGGGTAATCACATGTAACAAATTAACATGCAGTTAAGTATTGTGCACACATGAACTCAGTATTTCCTAAAACAAAAATCCAATGGAACGCTTGAGATAATAGCATCCGCATAATTTGTGCTTCACTACCTGTTAAGTTGAAAAAAACAATTGTCGGTGACAAAAAGTTCAACTAGTTGTTTTTTCGAAAGAAAAGAGCTTATCTTTTCTAAGGATTGAGTGAATTCAGTTTGCAGATTAACAAAATATAAGTCATAACAGAAGTCTATAGAGATTGCTAATTGCACATCAAATGTTAGTACTCCGCAAAATGAGAGTACCATGATCATATAGTCTAACGATTAGAAATTTTAATAAGAACATAGATACTAAAGCAAGCTATCATGACCGAAACTAACTTAAAATATACAAGTACGAGACACGAAAAAAAAAATATAAAGATAGTGCAAAAACGGTGCTTGAATTGATTCAGGACATCAAAAGAGTGTCAGAAACCCATACCATTAAGACGTAAGCATAAGGAAATAAAAAAACACCCACACACGCATACCTCATCATTATGGTATGCTAAATGAGTTGCTATAATAGCTTATAAATTAGAGCACCTGACGAGAGATTGTCCCGTCGCTGTTTGACCTTACGCCCACCTCCCGCAATATCACTGTCTTAGAAGCGCGTAGCTTTTGAAGAGAGATGAACACCATATCTGACATCTGCAGACTGCTACGTGCTACCGTCGCAAAAAGAGGCATTCCAAAATACTGTTAAAAAAAAGAGATAAATATGAGTTTGTTATGAAATTGGGATTTATATTGAATAGTTGTTCTAGTCTTGATAACATCATACATGTACATGCCGAAATTTTATTGATTTGCTTGTTTGGAGTTGTTGGGCTATAGATCAATATTTATTTACTCTCACATATTGTATCATTTGTGTATTCAGAGTACATATAATGAGTCAATACTTGTAAAAGAATTTGGGGAACATGATAATTATTTATCTATAGTTGTGATATAGTATTGCGCCTAGAATAATAATAATAATAGCAATAATTACTTAATTGGGATTTTTTGTGACTGTCAAGTCATAAATTGACTCCTAGGGGAAGAAATGTTCTTCATCAAGCCCGCAATTGCGGCGTCATCATTGAATTGAATGCCAAAACTTGAAAACAATTAGAGCTAAATCCCATAATTAAACAAAAAGCCAAAATAACAAAAATTAGAAAGATCATAAAAAGAAAATGAAGAAATTTTACACTCTTCCAAGGTTGGCCATATGTATTTCATGTAGTTGAGGGATACAATGTCTTTTGCCTAATACCCTCCCATTATGTTCTTAAACTCGATGACTTGTTCTCAGGTTGGACGTGGCGGCTCCATGGAGTCGCGAACTCCGTGAAGAACGAAACGATAAATATCATAAGTCACCGGGACCTAAAAAAAATATGATTCATCCCTCTTTGGATTGACCTTTGTTGGATTTTAAGGGAACAATACCAAAGATAAAAGGAAATCATCATAAGAAAAGCTTTTGCACTGAATATGATAATGATTTGTTTACATTAATGATGGCTGCGCAGGGAGCAGGGAAAATATATATACATCCAAAGCATAACCCTAGAATATTAACCTAAGGTAAAAAGGACAAGTAAATATTCAAAAATGGTATCAAGATGGCATATTCTCA